ATGATAGCCCATTTGACCCGCTTCTGATAAGCTAGACACCTGACTACTAGTATGTCACTATGCATTATGTATTCTTATCTAGGTAGATATCTAATCAGATAAGATATAGATCATCTAGATGCTAAAAAGATAAGATAGACGCGAAATTCTGTGACATTACCCCCTCTTCAAGACTGAGACTCCGGTGAAGAAGATAAACCAGTAGATCCAAATCCACTAGTTCCCTGTTGGGTGTAATCTAGTACTCCCCATTGTGCCTTGGTAAAGGTGATGTGTTCTATCACTAACTGTGCTATATGACTGCTGGGATGTACTGTGAAAGAGATTTTGCTGTTGTTTACCAGCAAAACTTTTATTTCACCTCTGTAATCCCAATCTATAACTCTAGCTGCAACATTGATCCCTTTGACTGCAAGTCCACTTTGAGGTGCAATACATCTATAGCTGTGTGGGGGAATAACACATTTGAGTCCAGTTCCTACTAAACTCCTAGTTCCTGGTTCAATGGTAATTTCATCTGCCGCTGCCAGATCAAATCCCGCTGTATACTCCATATTACAGCGGAAGAGGGGGGTTCTTTTTCTTTTCCTAACTATTTGTTGTTGACCCTGTAACTGTATAACTGATCCCATCACCTTATGAGACATTGTAGGGTCAGTAGGGTTGGAAAAACCTAACAACCCAGGGCCATATACCTATGTACCTAGGTGTGCTGTATATCACCTAGGCCCTAGGTATGCCATCCTGCGCCTAGGAATACATACCTACATTCCTAGGTATGCCATCCTGTACCTAGGAACACACACACCTACGTCCCTAGGTACACTATGCTGTATGTAGGGACACACACACCTACATCCCTAGGTACACTATGCTGTACGTAGAGACATACACACCTACGTATAATATAGGAGGATGAGATGGCCATCCGGGACGGCCATGTGTGCATGACAAGCATGCATGGTGAGAGTATGTAAGGCCATCTGGGTCGGCCATCACGAACAAGAGGAACAGAGCACTTAAATGCAGAGCGTTGATAAGACTCTGTTGCTTCTAGGCTCGGAAACGGGTGTTCTATAT